CACTCGGTATCCCTCCTGTCCCTCTGCCGATGCTGCCTGTATTACAGTTGAGCATCTTCCGGTCGCCTGTGCTCACTGTGGGACGCCACAAAAGCCCCTCGTGCCGCAGGGCTCCTGATGTGGCACTGGGTGCCGGTGGCTGCTTCCTGTGACCTTGCGAGTATAAAGGCTTTCTGACACGGACAGCTCAAGAGTGCTTAGTAACATCCCTGTGCGGGTTAATAATCGTGCAGGTTGAACGATTTCTTACTTAGCTATATTTGCTTCAAAAGTTTTTGAGTATTTTGAAGTAAATGATAGACATCTCTATCTACACAAGTAGCATTGCTGTGGAATAACATGGAAAGTGATCGCAGTTCTTCATCACACCTGACAACATGGATGCAAGTTCCTAATGTCACATAGCACCAGTGCATACGCAGCCTTCCCTGCACGTACCCAATAGCGTCACTTGGAGCTAGTTTGTCCACTCCTGGGCCCAGTCAGGCGCACGCTGGAACGGCGCGTCCTGCCCTGGGCGGGCTTTTGATACTGACTTGTTAAGGCAGGAGCTGATGGCCTCTGAACTGTCTCATCTTCTGGATGTGACTGATGACCTCCGTGAGGCATCATTTAATTTATTTTTTTAATCTTTGTAAACCATAAGTTTTGTCTGATGGGTATTTCTTCATTTTGATAAAACAGTTTTTGTGTAACGTATTCTTGGAATACTCATTAATTCGCATCACTTGGCATGTCCCCTTCCCAGCCCTTTAGGCAGTTAGCCTGCCTGCGATCTCGTAGACGGCGTTTATGTTGGTGGGCTTACTACCTTCATTGTAATCTATCTGTGTGCACGTCTGTCCACTCAAGGACAGAGACTGGGCCCGTCGTATCGTTGTTACCCTGGTGCTCAGCGAATGTCCGAATGAATGAATGAGTCCATGGACACGTGCTATGCTCATACAGGTTACAACGTGAAAAATCTGTTTTCCCATTAAGGGCTTCAAGAGTTTCTGTAATCAAGGTAGTCTTGTGTTCTTTCTGGTGTATAGACGCAGTCTGAATAGGGAATTTCATAACTTGTGGGAGGAGGGGACCCAAGCCATGATTATTAATATGGAGATTCGGGGTGCAGGGCGGCCAAAGAGCCTGATAAGGAACCGTCGCAGTCGTTGGAGCTGCTGCCGAGGATGTAGCCAGAGGGCGCTTTCTGCTCTGCGTGCTTCTGCCTCTCTTCTGTCCCGCTGTTCTGAAAGGGCAGCTGGTGTAGATACACCTTGTGAGCCAAGGGCACGGCCGCCGTGGTGTAGACCAGCCAGCAGGCGGGTTGGTGATTGCTGGGAGACGCCCAGGCACAGAAGTTCCCCTCAAGCATGTGCTTGCTTCTGAATGGCGTGAGCTATCTGCTGCCTTAACGAAGCATCGATGAAGGTAGTGCAAGAATTGCACTTCACACCTCCCTCTAGAGCACACAGCGGACTGTGTTTGGGGTCTGTTGGACCTCTCCTTGTCCTGATTTTAGTGGAGAAACATTTTAAGGTGACCTTAGAGCGCCCTGATGCCAAGAGTGACCGAGTGCTTTGTGCCACAGAGGTGGTTCTGCTTTGTGTTTCAAGTGGGGTCTCTTGATGGGAGAACATGGTCAGGGAAGCCTGGGGTTTGGGGAATGTGCCGGTTGCGTAGTCCCGACTGCTTGTTCTGGCAGCCTTGCCTGTGCTGGGGGAACCTGAGGCCACAGTTCGGCCGCCTCTACTGTAGCGTGGGGCCGGTCCTCACCGTATCCAGACAGAGGCGTGACCCTCGGTGAGAGAATGGGAGGGTGCGGCGGGTTGTAAAAAGTGTCCCCCTCTGTTGCAGATACCTGGTGACGTTTAGCCCCCTGATGGACAATCAGGATGACCCTCAGGCCATCATCTGGGACATCCTTACTGGGCAGAAGAAGAGAGGTTTTCACTGTGAAAGCTCAGCCCACTGGCCTATTTTTAAGTAAGTAGACCAGTGGTGGCTGTAGTGGCATCCCTGTAACCTTCCCGTTGGCAGAGCCTGGCACTACTCTCTTTCTTCCTAGGTGGAGCCATGATGGTAAATTCTTTGCCAGAATGACACTCGACACCCTCAGCATCTATGAAACCCCTGTGAGTAGTTTAATTTTCTGAAAACTGAGCTGCCTGCCGGCCTCAGTGGTTGCAGGAGATGCAAGCTGGCCCTTGATTTGTGGCAGCTGCCGGGAGGAGGGGCTTGTGTGCAGAGCGAGGCAAAGCTCGTGTCCTTCAGTCTCCCGTGTCATGGGGCTGGTCTTTCATCTGCCAGCCCCACTCGGTGCGACAGAGAGCGAGGGATGGGACAAGTGGCTTGGAAACGGGAGTTGTTGCACTGTTCATCTCACCCTCTGTGTTCACACCGCCCCCTCGGCCAGCTCACGTCAGAATCTCTTGTTGCCTTTTTGTAAAGAGTTGTGTTATTGGGACATTGGCGTGATTTGACTCAGTTGTATCCCTCGTTTTCCCGGCAGTCAATGGGCCTCTTGGACAAGAAGAGCCTGAAGATCTCTGGCATAAAGTAAGTGACTGTCCCTCCAAGCTGCTTTAAAATGCTCTCCTTCCGCTGGCACTGGGCTCTTACACAGCTAGAGGAAACACTACTTGGTGTCCCAGACATGGGGACGGCACAGCCACCTGGGCTGCTGCTCGGCACTGGGCCTGCTCACAGCCCTCGCCGTCAGAAGTCCTCTTCCCTTCACGTGGCGCCTCCTATGGGCCACATTCAGGTCTGTTCACGTCACGTTCTTGCCTGGGGACGAGAGCTGCAGCCTTCGGGGGGTGGGTGACAGTCTCCTCTGTTCCCTGGTGACCCATGCAGTGGGGCTCCGGGCCTTCAGTGAATCGCGGCTCGTGCGCTCTGTCAAAGACGGCACNGTGGTAAGAGCCGCCTGACAAGTCTCTTGTTCATACAGAATTATTGGGAGACGTACTCAAAGATCGACCCCAGGAAGCAGATGGCATCGACTCTGTGATCGTGGTCGACAATGTTCCCCAGGTGGGACCTGACCGTCTGGAGAAACTCAAAAATGTCATCCATAAGATCTTTTCCAAGTTTGGGAAAATCACAAATGACTTTTATCCTGAGGAGGATGGAAAGACAAAAGGGTAAGTGATGTTCTCCATCCTAAGCGTCCTTAGTGTTTTTCTTGGTATCAGACACCCCATGGGGATCCTGTGTGTCACAAGAGTTCACCGTGGCTGTGGTGCGGGCCTCAGTGGCAGTTCTGCCTAGTTGGGTTGATCTGGTCACCCTCGGTGGAAGCTCTGCGGAGCAGTGAGCTGGTCCTGGGTCTGTGCCAGAAGGAAGGACATTGAAGTATGGTTCTCAGATTAATTGTAATTGGGGACTAAATTGTTAAGGAATCAGGGCTTGACGTTTAAGTCTTTGGCCATCAGAACAGTGATTGATGCAAGGAACGTCCTGGGTAAAGGGACCGCTGGATCTGGAAGCTGGCAGACGTAGGAAAACTTCACATGTGGTATTTTATTGATTCTAAGATATGCTTTTCCCCCCACATTTTAACATGTCAGAATGGGGATGGATACTTATTACACTCTAGATGAAAGCATTTGTTATTGCTTAATTAGCAACTTTTTCCCTAGTGTTACCTAAAATATTAGTGCATCTTTTAAAAGTGGCAGCCTAAGGTATGTCTTGCAGTTTGCTTTTTAAATTCAACATTAGTTCTTCTGTGTTGATGAAGGTAATTCTCTTTCCTTCGCTTTAAATGCTGTGGTATTCTCTTGTACCGTGTAACAGTTTCTTTCCTAGCCATTGACATTTAGTGTTTCACAGTTACAAATGGTCTTGCACGCATCCTTTCTGAGTGAGTGTGAGAGCTTCTTTGCTACATGCCTGGGAATGGAATTGTGGGGTTGCATGAAGTCACCTGCAGTGCCACTAGGCACTGTCAACTCATGATTGAGGTGGTTACCAGGCACCCTCCCACCCACAGTAATGAACGTTCTGCTTGTTGCTTCTCAATCTTGGCCAACTCCTTCCATTAACATTTCATGTAAATATCAGCCTTTGAGAGTCCAGGCTAAACCGTCTTCTGTAGGACAGGAATGAGAAAGTGATAACGTTTATTTGTTTAAATTCAGATTTTGGAAACAACCTAGAATAATTTTAATTTATTAAAAAAAGGATCCAATACAGGTAATGATCCTGACATTTTCTGTTTTGGAACTAGGTGGAAGGATAACTTCGTGTTATGTTTTTTGTTATAATCAAACCCCCTCTGAGAGCCTTTGTAACTTTGCCTGTAATACATAGTATTACATAAACAATGTGTTTTTAGACTTTTAACAGCCTTTAACAGTGAAATAATTGACATATAGTAAGCTTGCATGGTTTTAAAGTATGCAGTTTCGTAAGTTTTAACATATATACAGCCATGAAATCATTGCCACAGTCAAGAAAATGGACATTTTGATTAATGAGCTTCTCTGTAATTCATGATTATGGAGTTAGAGANGAGCTCTCCAAATATTTTAATAAAATGGCTTTTATATTTTATGCAGCATTTTAGTTGTTTTCAGCAGAAGAGTTAACCCATTTAGCCATATTCTCACACCACGGAGGCACACAGAACACAAGCAATAAAGAAAAATATTTACTATTGTAAGTGCCAGCATGACAAGCTCGTATGACGAAAGACATCTTAGACAAGTGATAAGCCACAGACTGGAAGAATGTACTTTAACATACACACTAGGTTTCAAGGTTATAATCCAGATCTTATAAAGAACTCATCCACTTCAATATGAAAAAGATGAATCATCCCAAGGAGGCAAAGGATATGTCAGGGTAATTCACCGAAAAGGAAATCTGAGAGGCCAATAAACATAGAAAAAGATGTTCAGCCTTACTGTTAGGTATAGTGGGCATTTATTATTACTTCTTGGACATTCAGCATCTGAGCGTTTCTATTTTAGAGGAATTCCTCTTTTGAGAAAGTCCCTTCCTACACAGAAGGTGACATGTCAGCTGCAGCCAGCCAGGTTCACAGCGGAAGGGAGCTGGGGTCATGGGGACATCCATGACGGTGACAACTCATGGCAGCTGCAGGACTAGCGTCCCACATCTAAGGGCAGGAGAGGCTGTGGACTTCCACCAGCACCCAGGGCCGCCGTCCACGGTGTCACGTGTGACTCTAACACTGGGCCTCAGTGAGGGGACAGCGCTGTCGTCACAGGCCAGCTCTAGGCATGAACTGCACACTCTGCCTGCTTTGCTTCAAGCCTGGTTTCCCAGCCCTCCTGCAGATCTTCCTTTCCGCTTAAATCAGAAATCTACTTACATCAGGGAAATGCAAATTCCAACGACGAGATGCACCCGAGATGGGGAGAAACAAATATTCCTAGGCTGCTGGAGTGAAAATTGGTTTTGACACTTCAGAGGACAATTTGTTAATGTCTAATAAATCTGATGCGGCAATTCCAATTCTGGTCATATTCTCTAAACTACAGCTCATGGAGTAAACACGAGACTCATCATTGTGGTACTATTTATAATACCCAAAAGATCCCCAAACAACCCACTTTGATGTCAGTGTGGAATAAATAAATTGCAGGGTGTTCATACAACATCTGAGCTAGAACAGCACGTGCCAAGATAGACAGGGCTTGAAAACATCATTTGCGGGGAGAAAGGGCATCGCANGTGATAATAACAACTTGGGCCAGTGAAGCAACGTCCTCCACAACTAGACTGAAGAACAAGAGGACAGGAACTTGTCTGTTCCCCTTCCCCAATTCCCCAACACTGTTCCCTCCCCCAATTCCCCAATAAAATCTTTAAATAATAATAATAATAATAATAAATAAAAGATATGGGCAAAACCTCTACACTGAAAATTACAAACCATTACTGAGAGTAAAGACCTAAATATTCATATTAACATATTGTTAGGATGTCAATTCATCCTAAATTAATCTGCAGCCTCAGTGCAGTTCTAATCATAATGCTAGCATACTTTTTCCCTAGAAATATATATATGCTAATTATAAAATTCATATGGAACAGCAAAGTATTTAGCATAATCAACACAATCTTGAAAAAGAACAAAGTTGGAGGACTCCTGCTACCTGATTTCAAGATTTCTATAAAGCTATTGTAATGAAGATAACATGGTATTCATACAGAAACAGATCAATAGAACAGAACAGAAGGTCTAGAACTTAACCTACTCATACAAGGTCAACTAATTTTCTTTCTTTTTTTTTTAATTAAAGTTTATTAGGGTGACAATTGTTAGCAAAGTTACATAGGTTTCAGGTGTACAGTTCTGTAATGCATCATCTATATATCACATTGTATGTTCACCACCCAGAGTCAGTTCTTTTTCCATCACCATACATTTCATCCCCTTTACCCTCATCTACCATCCGCTCCCCTCGGTCAATTGATTTTCAATAAAGCTGCCAAGGTAATTCCATGGGGGAAAGTATAGTCTCTTCAACTAGTTTTATTAAACAATGGAATGTCCATTTGGAAAAAATAAAGGAACCTCATTTCTTACCTCATACTATAGACAAAAACTAACTCAAAACAGATCATAGATCTAAAATGTAAAACTTAAATTCAGCTTTCTAGTAAAAAAAGGAGAAAAATCTTTGCAACTTTGGGCGAGGGACAGATTTCTTAGAGAGGCACAAAAAGCAGAAGCCAAAACAGAAAAAAACTGACACATTGGACTTCACAGGCACTTCAAAACGTGTGGGGTTTCAAAGGCCCCAGTAAGAAAATGACAATGCCATCCACAGACGATGAGAAAACCTGGGTCAGCATACACCTAACACAACACCCACATCCAGAAGGCAACCTAATAAAAAATGGGCAAAAGGCTTAAACAGAAACTTCACAAAAGAAGATACACAAATCACCAACAGGCACATGAAAAATGTGTTAAACACCACTAGTGGGGAAATGCAAATTAAAACCTCAGTGAGATACTACGACATACCGACCAGAATCATTAAAATTAAACACTGACAAAACCAAACGTTGACAAGGATATGAATNGCCACCAACAGGACATCGTCCCGCTCCCATGCTGTGCTGCAGGTCACCGTGCGCCAGCAGAGCCGCGGCTCAGACCTGGCGGAGGAAGTGCGCGTCGGGAGGCTGTTCATGGTGGACCTGGCGGGCTCGGAGCAGGCGTCCCAGGTGCCGTCCTCTGACATGCGCCCCCTTCGTCCCTCGTCACCATCACTCACCTTGTGTCATCTGCCCTTTAGTTCATGAGCAGGACACGTGGCCAGCCAGAGTGACAGCTCCCTCGTGGAGCGTGTGGTCTGGTGGGGAGCAGGTGGGAAAATATCAAACGCATAAAAGAGCAAGGTGGTTGCCAAGAGAGTTAAGGGGCTTGAAGGAAATAAACAGGACACGTGGGAAAGGTGACAGGCTGGCTACTGCAGACGCCCCTTTGGAGAGTGGGGCGGGGGCATCCCCGCAGGAGGGGACGCTGAGCTGACACTGGAAGGATGAGGGGGTTTTGGCCTGGGAGGGGGCTTCCTAGGTAACACACACATGCGTATTTGTATTGTAAAAGTGGATTGATCTGCACAGACCTTCCTCTAATCCATTTTTATCTCGTTCATAATCATAACAGCTCATCAGTTAAACAGCTCTCCCTCATCCCACTTAGTGGCTGCGTAGTGCTCCCCGTCAGGGTCCTGTCATTTATGTCAGGGGTCCCGATATTTCAGGGGTGTAGCCAGTGTGTGCAGGGCCTGAGCACCTGGGTGGGGCGGGGTTATTGCACCTGGACCTCAGTCCCCTACCGGGGTCGGGGGCTGGCAGGTGGGAAGGACCATTTCCGCGCCAGCCCAGCTTCTCCCCACTCAGACCCAGAACCGTGGCAAAAGGATGCAGGAGGGCGCGCACATCAACCGCTCCCTGCTGGCACTGGGCAACTGCATCAACGCGCTCAGCGAGAAGGGCAGCCGGGCGCAGTATGTGAACTTTCGGGACAGCAAACTCACGCGCCTGCTGAAGGTACTCTGTAGGCCGGGTGTGTGTGCTGCGTGTGTGCTGCATGTGCGCATGTGTGTGCACATGTGTGTGCACTGTGTGCATGTGTATGCTGCGTGTGTGCATGCATATGCATTGTGTGCATCTGTGAGTGTCTGCTGTGTGTGTGTGCTGTGTGCGCATGCATGTGCATGTGCTGCTGCCATAGCTGATTGCATCTTTCAGGACTTACCTGCTGGGCAAGAGCCCCAGACCTGAGTCTAAGGGCCCTTCCACCAACCTCCAAAGAAAGGAAAACACCAGAGAAACCATCTCTAGTCACAGCCTGACTCCCCACACTGTCCCTCTGAGTTTGGTCCAGCCTATGCTTGCATACACCCAGGGACAGGGCGCTTACTACTTAACCAACGCTGCCCGTCCCATCGTGGATGGTCTGACTGTGAGAAGATCCCCCTTTCCACTGAGCTGAATATTATCACCCCTGTTCTACAGCAAAGCAAGCTATACGTAAATAGGCAAAACAATAAAGGAATGTCCCTGCAGATGTGGCTTCTTGGTCTAATCTGCTTGCGTCAGAGTGGAAGTCAGATGGGGTGGGTCTGGAACGGGCCCCCCTCACCCTGAGTATCACCTCCCTGATTTGGAGCAGGAACCTCAGACAGGATGGTCCAGACGGGCCTCGCATAGGTGGGTGATGGGTGGCACCCCAGGGCAGGTGGAGGCCTGTTCCTATCACCCCCAGCTCATGCCTCTCACTGAGCAGGATGCCCTGGGAGGGAACAGCCGGACGGTGATGATCGCCCACATCAGTCCGGCCAGCACGTCCTTCGAGGAGTCGCGGACCACCCTGCTGTACGCCGACAGAGCCAAGAGCATCAAGACCAGGGTGAGCCGCCCGCCCGCTGGCTCACCTGCACACTCTCACGCACTTGCTCACTCGCGGAATCCTCACATCATGCTCCCTCTGGAGGCCCCCGGAGGCTCCTTGTCCCATCCAGCTTGGTGGCTCCTGGCGTGCCTTGGCTTGTGGCCTCACCCTCTAGCTCTGCGCCGTCTTACTTCTCTGCTGAGGACATTGGCATGATGGACTCAGGGTAGTCCCTAATCCAGGAGGACCTCATCTCAAAATGCTTCATTATATCTGCAAAGACGCTCTCCCCAGACAAGGGCACATTCACAGGGCTCAGGCTGTCCAGGACATGGACTTATCCCTGTGCCTGCGTGCCATAAGCTCTCAAAGCAATTTAATGTGTTTTGTTCTCAACAACGCTCTCCTTAGGAGGNAAGGGCCTGTTGAGAACGCGCCAGCCACCCACTGCTCTGGGAATGTCCCCTCCATTGAGGACTCCGCTGTAATTATAAGGCAGGACGTTTGCTCAGCCCCGGCCGGGCCAGCTGCTGACTGAACAGACCGGCCTCTCTCATTCCCGAGGTCTTAGTGGCCTCAGGGAGAGAGGAGACCTGACCATCAGCATTTACTGAGCCGCTACTACATGCCAAGAGCTGTGCTTAAGCGGTTGACATGTGCTGTCTTACAAGTCTCACAGCAACCCTATAAAATACACAGCAGTATTGTCCCAATTTTACAGATGGGGAAACTGAGGCTTCAGGAGGTCAGCAGCCTGCCTGAGGTCACACAGTTAGATGCTAGGAACCAGCGCTCAGCTCCAGGTCGCTCCGAAGCCAGAGCAAAGCTGTACGGGCTTTGGAGTCTGTCTGTCCCGAGCCCGGATGCTGCCTCTACCGTCTATGAGCTGTGTATTCAGCCTGGGCTATGGGGACAGGTCACTGACATGAAGTGCAGGACCCAGAGTGGGTGCCCAGGAAGGGCACAGGAAGTGGGGACTGTCATTCCTATCCAGTCCAGCCAAACCCACTCACCCTCATACACCAGCCCTGGAGGAGTCCTTCCTTGAACACCCATGTGGACAGGGAGCTCAATACCACACACTCCCATCGCGACATACTGCTGCCTTAAATGAAATTAAATTCTGCTGGCTCGAAGCTTGCACTCCCTGATCCTGGTTTTGTCCGGTAAAGCTGAGTCAGAATGCCTTTCACAGGTTTCCAGCCCTTTTGCTATCTTCCATCCCTTTGCATTCCTCTGAATTCTTGCAGAAGCCCTGGAAAGGCCTCACAGGTGTTCAGTACCAAACATGCATCAGGCCTTATGGTCACATACGTTCTCATGTCACCCCCCTCACAGCCACTCTGTGGGATCGGCCTCATCTCACACCACGAAGCTCGGAGCGGGTGAGGCCAGTGCCAGAGCTAGCGCAGATGCCGGGCAGACCCCGGGAGGGAGTCCAGGATACCCACCACCCACGCTGTGTCCACAGGGAATCGACGTTTGCAGGCACCACACACTGGACCTCTCCAAACAGCCATGCACCCGACTTTGGCTAGGTTGTCCATTGGACTGTCTGTCCTCTGTCTGTCCCCAGGAAGACGTGTACTGTACCACCACCCAGCACTTGGTTGAAGGCGTCATTTCTGGATACAATGCCACGGTGTTTGCCTATGGCCCCTCAGGTACCGCCAGGGGCAGTGTCCCGAGGAGTGGGGTTGGTGGCAGCAGACCTACTGTATGCTGGCCTTGCATTGGTCCCTCTGCATCCGTTGGCTCCTTTAGCAGCCCTGAAGGGCAGGTAGAAAGATCCCCTTTTCACAGATGAGAAAACTGAGGCTCAGAAGGTGCAGGGGCTTCCCAAGGTCACCCTGCTGGTGGGCATGAATCTGGAGTTCAGCCCCAGCTACACTGCGCTACCCACGAGAACCCACAGGTGCCACCTCTCTCATCCTGAAAACTAGAACCAGAAAGGGTCAGAGTTAGATGGGTCCGAACCCCTCACTGTGCAGATGGTGATACTGAGGCCCTGAGAGGCACCTTGCCCGAAGCCACAGCCTGTTTATTTCACTCATTGATTCAACAAACATCAGCGAGCACCTACTATGTGCCAGGCTCTAGTGACGGAAAAGAATCATGTGGTCCTTGACTACTGGGCAGATAGAGAAGGGGCAGTGAGGCGTCCCCTACAAAGAGACCCCTTTTGAAAAGTGTGATACGTTCATTCTCCTGTTACGAACCAGCATGAACACCTTGAAGAGAACTTGGAGAAGGAACAGACGTCTCTCGCATCCCCCCATCTAACACCGTCTCATCTTCGCGTTATATCTGCTCAGGTTTTCCTCCGCAGAATAGCCATCAGACTGTTCACACAGCTTTTTGCCTTGTTTCCGAAATGGGAAGCAGGCGTGTCTGAGCAGCCGGGAGGGTGGGAGGTGTGTACGCTGAAGGCGCAGGTGTGAGCCATCTTAGGGGCAGGCGTGTGTTCAGGTGGGGCCTGAGCCCACATCTGGTGCCCCGCCTTGTGAGTGTCCCACGCCCCCACAGGCGCAGGGAAGACCCACACCATGCTGGGCGTGGACACGCAGCCTGGCATCTACCTGCAGACCCTCACTGACCTCTTCCAGGCCATCGAGGACACCTGTGACAGCATGGATTGCAGCGTGTCCATGTCTTACCTCGAGGTGAGCCTGCCCCCCGCCTCAGGTGCCTTGCCTTGTGTGTCGCCCCCTGAATGCCCACTGGCCTTTGCAGCCCTCAGCCCTCAGAGTGGCTGAGCTCTCTGGGACACAGAGCCCAATGATTTGTGAGTCCCTGCAGTTCTCTTCCATGGAAACCACTCTGCTCCCAGCTTTTCTGTCTCATCCCAGATCTATAACGAAGTGATCCGGGACCTCCTGAACCCGTCCTCGGGGTTTCTGGACCTGAGGGAAGATTCCAGGGGCAGCATTCAGATTGCCGGGATCACGGAGGTCTCCACCTCAAATGCCCAGGAGGTGAGGTCACNAAGAGGAACAGCCAAGTTGTGCTTCCATCTTAGTTGGTGGAGGGTGCAGCTAGCTCAGCTCCAAGTCTAGTCACCATCCGGCTATCCATAGGCAGCTCGCGGCCGCTCAGCTCAAGGTGTGGTGTTAATTGTGGGTAGGCGTAGCCCACCACCCCTTGCGGGAGTCGAACCAGAAACCTTATTAGGAGCACGTGCTCTCGCCAACTGAGCCATCCTGCCGCCTATTGGCAGCTCAGCGGCAGCTCAGCTCAGGTGCAGCTCACTGGCCCATGTGAGAATCAAACCGGTGACCCTATGCTCAGAGCTCGCACTCTTAACCAACTGAGCCGCTCGGCCAGCCTGTTTTTAATTTTTTTAAACACAAAGAAGCATGTTCTGTACCCAGATTTTTTTTGCATCATTTAATATTTGACTTACTCAGAAAGTTACCTGAGTTTTCCTTCTAATAAAAGTATTCCTCTATCCTTTAAAAAACATTCATTATTGAGATATAACTCTCATACCATAAAATTCACCCTTTCACAAGGTTGTGCAGCAGTCACCACTAATTCTGGAACATTTTTGTCACCCCAGAAACTTCATCCCTATTAGTAGTCACCTCCGCTCCTTCCACTCCCCCACCCCACTAGCTCTTGATACCCACTAACCTGCTGTCTTGTTTTCTGTTGGGTTTCCCTGTTCTGGACGTTTCATATGAATGAGATCATAAACGTGTGGCCTTCTGTGTCTGGCCCCCTTCACTGAGCATGTCTTCAGGGCCCCCCAGGTGGGGGCATGGGCAGAGCCTCCCCCTTGACCACTGCATGGCTGTGCCACACCATGCTGACCCTGCCTGCCGTCCATTAATGGCCATGTGGCTGTTTCCACTGGAGGCCATTCTGGCTTGTGCTGCAGCCCACCTTACACGAGTGTATNCTGTCCAGGACATGGACTTATCCCTGTGCCTGCGTGCCATAAGCTCTCAAAGCAATTTAATGTGTTTTGTTCTCAACAACGCTCTCCTTAGGAGGTGGGTCCTATTATCATCCCATTTTACAGACTGGGCAGCTGCAGCACAGAGAGAGCAACATCTCCAACCTTCCTCAGTGGAGCAGAGCGGGCACTGGGGCCCAGCGAGCCTGGCTCGAGTCTATGTGTGGACCGCTGAGCTAGCCTGTCCATGGCTGCACCCGGCCTGTAGGATTCATGTCTTGAGGCTGCCTGAGACATCAGTGGGATGATGCACATTAACCACGCAGCACCCCGATGACTGGTGCTCGACACGTGATACATGCTATTTGATTGTTACTGTTGGCTGTCCACACACGTGATGAGCCCTGCCAGTGCCTAGCTCTGAGCTAGGCGCTGTGATAAAACAGGACAGAGCTGCTCGCGCCCAAACCCTGAGCCTAGCAATGGGGAAGGCAGGCATGAAACCGACCTCACACAGATGAGTGTATCATTTCCAGCTGTGGTAAGTGCTGTATGTGAGGCCTAGGGTGCCATGAGGAAGAATAGCAGAGAAGACCGAGTTTCGAGGGTCTTCTGCTAAGGGGAGTGGGTCAGACAAGGAAGCCCAGCCCTGAGCAGCGAAGAGGGCAGCTCCGGGCACTGGAGCACCTTGCTCTGTGACCAGCCATCTCACCTCCAAATCTACCAGCGGGAAGCATGGACCCACGTGCTCAGGGAGGCTGTGTCACTGGAAAGCCCCAAGTGCCCATCAGAGGGGATGGAACACGCAATCCGTCTGTCCTGTGGGCCACTCTGCAGCTGTTACAGAGAATGGGGTGGACCCATCTGCAGATGGCCGGCCTCCGGGACACATCATTGGGTGAGAAGAAGCAAGTTACAGAGGAGTAACTACAGTCTGATGTAATTTACACAAAACCCCACAGCCGAACCTACACCCGAATCTCCCCATATACCTCTAGGTACACGTACATTTACAAGACCACACAGTAAAGGAGCTGGAAGGGCACACATCAAAACCACAGCTGTGGGTACCCATGGGGGTGCTGTGTAAAAAACCCTTGATGGGCTGTTTGAACTTCTAATTGTGGCAAAACACGTGTAACGTAAAATTATTATTTTAACCATGTACAGTTCAGGGGCCTTAAATACATTCACATTGCTGTGCAGCCGTCCTCACCGTCATCTCCAGAACTTTCCATCTTCCCAAACTGACACTCTGTCCCCATGAAACACTCACTCCCTGTCTCCCCTCCCCAGCCCCGGGCACCACCTTCTACTTCCTGTCCCTGTGACTCTGACTCCTCTAGGGACCTCATATATGTGGGATCATATACGTGTCCTTTGTGACTGGCCGATTTCAGCAGCACAGTGTCCTCAGGGTCCATCCGTGTCGTAGCAGGTGTCAGAGTTTTCCTCCTCTTTAAGGCTGAGTGGTTCTGATGTGAATTTTCATAACAGAAAAGTGCATGTTTCTGGAGTAAACAAGTCACAGTGAAAACGCGCCCTTGCAGGGCAGCCCCGTGCGCTCTGACCTTGGCGTGTGTCTGGCCCCGCTAGGTCAAGCGCAACCTGCTGACCGTGTCCTACCACATCACGCAGTACACAGACGTCATCTCTGGCCTGCGCAGGGAGATCGAGCGCCTCAAGTCCAAACTCGAGAGGCGGGAACAGCAGAAGGAAAGCGAGCCGGGCGTTCGGGACACACAAGGTAGGCCCCGCACAGACCTGGTGCCCTGGCCCCTTTGCTGCCCTGGGTGGGGATGGGCTTCGTGAGTTCACGGAGCAGAAAGTGCCCCTGTGCTGGCACCTGAGGACAGAGAGGCTGCGGTGGGAGATGAGGCTGGAAGGTGGACGACCGGGGCCCGGGGTTTCTCCTCAGCACGATGGGGGCAGACACGGGTTGGAGCCACATGGCGAGAGCCGCCTTGCGATCTTAGCTGTGAAGTGGGAGTGAGAACACCCCTCAGAGCTGTGCTTTCCTTCAGTCTGTTGATGGGGGGAGGGGGTGGAAGGTTCTCCTCGGTTGGGGTGTTGCCCTGAAAACATGATGGGAGTTGAGGAGTTGAGGGAGGAAGCCGGGGGTGACCACAGGGGTCAACTGGGACCGCCCAGTAAAGGCGGGCGTTAGAAACGCCTCCACTTTTTGTTACGGGGAATTCCAGATACTTACGGAAGGAGAGAGAGCAAGTCCAGCAAACCCTCATGAGGACCCCACCCCCTCAGTTTCTCTTCCCCATCGTCCTGTACACTTCCCTGTCCTGTTATCTAGATGCGAACTCCAGACGTCATGTCATTTTATTCATAGGACTGTCAGCACAACCCCTGAAAAGTCAAGACTACAAAATCATAACTACAGTCTCATTTCCACACACACACACACAAAATGTTAACAATAATCTGTTCATATCATCAGGCAGCCAATCGGTGTTCAGGTTTCCACCGTCACAAAAAAAAAACCTTGTCAACGTCACAAATCTCTTCTGAACCGTTTGCTTTTGTTTTTGAACTAAGGCTCCCAACATAGTCCGTGCACTGAGTGTGTCTGATGAACCTTTGAAGTCTGTTGTTCTACAGGCTCTCCCTTCCTCGTTTTTTGGTCCATCCATTTTGTCACAAGGGCAGAGTGTCCTTCTTTCTCAGGGATGAATAGTATTTCATTATATATTATATTATATATAATTTTCTTTATCTACTCATCCGTTCATGGACACTTGGGTTGTGTCCATACCTGGCCATTGTGAATAATGCTACATGGACATGGGATGCAGATACCTCCTCAAGATACTGATTTCATTTCCTTTAGATAAATACCCCGAAGAGGGATTCCTGGGTCATATGGAAGCTCTATTCTTGATCTTCTAAAGACCCTCCGTACTGTTTTCCAAAGTGACTGTATCAATTCACATTCCCACCTGCAGTGCACGAGGGTCCCCTTTTCCCCACGTCCTCGCCAGCACTTGTGATTACTTGTCTTTCATGATGGCCATTCTGACAGCAATGAGGTGACATCTCACTGTGGTTTTGATTTGCATTTTTCTGATTAGTGATGTTGAGCACCTTTTCTTGTACTTGTTGACCATTTGTAAGTCTTCCTTGGAAAAATGTCTGTTAAGGTCCTTTGCCCATTTTTTACATTGGATTATTTGGTTTTTGCTATTGAGCTTCATAAGTTCCTTATATATTTTGGATGTTAACCCCTTAGCAGATATATGGTTTGCAAATGTTTTCTCCCATCCATCCACCATCCACCATCCATCCTCCATCTACCCATCCATCCATCCACCCATCCACCTATCCATCCACCATCCACCATCCACCATCCCTCCATCCACCATCCCTCCATCCACCATCCATCCATCCATCCATCATGTATTCATCATCCACCTACCCACATATGTGTATTGAACCCCTCCTTGGGCCAGACCCTATTTTGGTGGGCACACATGGAGTTTAACCCTGGCTTAGGTGGCACTGCTCCTGGTACAGCGGCTCCCTTGCTGCCCCCAGTCACAGTGTCCACCCAGGACACAGAGGAGGACAGCCGCCTGCAGATGAACAAGATCCGGGCCCAGCTGGTCGGGGCCTTCAAGGAGCAGCTGGAGATGCGGCGCAGCCTGGTGGAGCTGGAGAATGCCAGCACTGAGCTGCACGTGGACGCGTCCCGCCACCTGCTGGCCATTGCAGAGTGAGCGTGCCCTCCCGGGGCACCACCTGGGGCCCCAGCGTCACCCATCCCAATGGGGCAGGGAAACCAACAAGGACCAGCAGGGCCACTGCTGGGAGCTCTTTTCTGTGCTACTGTCCAGACTCCCTCGCTTGCTTGCAGGTCCCCAGGGGCACTTTAGCCAAGGGCTCCCTCTCTTCCCAGGCAGGACCCCTGGCCCAACCCTTGCCCTGCTCCCCTTACCCCTCTGTCATGGCTGCAGCTGGGAGCGTGAGAAGACCCACCACCACACCCAGAATAGGACACCTGGGAGGGGTGAGGAGCAGGTGGTGGCCGGCGCAGACGGGGGCACGGGCAAGTCTGCAGAGTCGCATGAGGTGGCCCTGGCCAGAGAGGAGGTCAACATGCTGTTAGCTGAGCAGCAGAAAACCATGGCCCTCAAGGTGGGGAGAGGGGCTGGGCACATCCATGTCACACAGTGACCATGACAGCCACTAGCATTTACTGATTGCCACTGGTGCCCTGGGCCTTCTGACAGCAGCCCCCGGCACGGGGCCGATCGGTACTGTCCTGTAGATGGGAAAACCCAGGCGTGGAGAGATTAGACAAGATGTCCCAAGTCCCCAGGAGAAGCAGAGCTGGGACCCGATGGGTCTCACTGCAAAGCCCACGTCACACTGGGGGCTCAGGGCCACAGTCCAGGGCAGGAGGCCCCCAGGGGGACAGAGGAGCCGTGGCCGTGGCCATGGCGCACAAGCCTCCAGCTCCCGGACACCCTTTGTAGTAACCCGCCACATGGCGAGCGAGCACTGCCCACCCTGCCAAGTGGGCATCGGGCTCAGTCTCCCCGAGTCTGGTCTTGGGTACGTGACACAAGGACAGAGACATGGCCAGAGCGTGCGCTCCAGGTTCCTCTCTGTAGAGGGAAGTCTCCTCACATCCTCATTTCCTGAGAAGAGCAAGCTGTGTCTATGAGCTGTTTATGTAGTAACTAGTTGTCTAACAGCCTCACTTCAGAAAATGGCAGAACTGGCGCTTGGTGGAGATGTTGGGAAAATGCCAGGGAAGCTGGCTGCTGTCCCAGCCCATTAGTGACATGTTTGCAGGCAGGTGGAGAAAGCGTCTGTGATGTCACGTTGGAGAAGCAGGCGGCATTTATTTCCCTTAAAAGCAATGTAGCCAAACTCAGAAGCTCCTAACATCATTGCATCTGCCTGCTGACGTTTAGAGAGCCCATGGAGGAGAGGAGGGTGTGAGCTCTGGGCTGGTGGGTTTGCATCTGAAAGGTGTGCCCCTGGGTGAGAGGTTCACTCTCTCTAGGACTCGGCTGGCCCTGGGAGGGGCCGTCCCTGCAGGGTCAGCAGAGCCCTGATGTTGGGGCATCAGATGCAGAGAATCAAAGACAAGGTTAATACAGGGGGACGGCCACACATCCCCAGAGCCAATCACCGAGGTTTGTGTGAGTTCAGTTTGTAAACCTCAGCCTGTAAGAATGGCTGGGCGTGGGAGCAGAGACCCCGGTATCCGCCCTGAACCCTTGGTCTGTCCGCCAGGCTGGGCTGGAGCAGCGCCTGGCCGGTGCCAGGAGAAAGGCTTCACAGCTGGAGGACCTGCTGCCCAGGCAGGCCATCAGCGAGGACCAGCGGGAGGTGCTGCGGCTGCTGTGCAGGACACACGAGCTGGAGCTGGAGAAGACGGAGCTGCAGGCCAGCAGCCTGCGCCAGGAGCACCTGCTGGGCCAGAAGGACTTGGTCATTCAGCGCTACCAGCAGCACCGGCTGCTCTGCGAGCACATCATTCAGGCACAGCGGCAGCTGATTCAGGGTGAGGCTGCCCTGCCCGCCGCACAGCGGCTTGGACTCAGTAGTTACTTTCTGGAAAGAGCAGGCAGCGCCCGGGGTCAAAAAATCGGTCCCCATGGCCAAGCAGGCGACGCCGGCTCCCTGCCCTCCACCCTGTGCCCCATCGCTCCCAGTCACCTGCATAGCCCCCTGGGTATGAGCAACGCAGGTACATCAGGAGCACACCACACACCGCTCAGTGCCTGGCTCTTGCCCACTTACCCGTGTGGCCTAGAAACAGCTTGATGAGCGTAGAGTGACGTCTGCAGAGATGCGCTAGGATGTACTGACCCACCTGTGGGTGACTGTTTAGATTGTCTGCAGCCATGCGCTCCCACGGCCCGCCCGTGCGTCTCGGTCCCGGCCGCAATGGGCTCCCTGTCCCCGGTGAGCAGCTGTGCAGGTGGCCCGCCCCCCCCCCCCCCAGTCTCTTAGCTCCTGCCCCGTGCCTCTCTTCTTCCAGCACTATTTTGACGGAACTTGAGGCTTACAGAAAAGTGACAATANACTCACAGAGCTTTCAGAATACAGGTCTTAGGAGCCTGGGTTAAGGCAACAGGAGACGAAGGCTTAGGTCCCGGCAAAGGTGGGAAATGGAGCTGAACCTCCCAGAGAACATCGGGAATAACGAAGGGTAACCTGCCAGCCTTTAGAAGTAGCGTGGAAGCGGGCTGTCCATGCCGGACCAAGCGTGGAAAAAGACTAACCCTTGAGGTAATCCCACTCCTAGGCAGTCACCCAAGAGAAATAAAAGCACATGTCCACAGAAGGAGGTCACTCTTAGAAGCCTCATTCAAATAGCCAAAAACTGGAAATAACCCAAATGTCTCTTAACAGCAGACTGGATAAACACGCTGCCGTAGTCACACAACGGGAAGTCACAGCGCAATGACAAACCACAAAACACCGATACCAGCGCTGGGAAGCCGGGGACCACTTTAACAGACACCTGAAAATGTGGGGCTGGCTTTGGAATCAGGTGACAGGTAGAGACTGGAAGAATTTTGAGACACATAAAGAGAAAAGCCTAGATTGCCTGGATAGGCTGTCAGCAGACATAGAGATGTTCACACTCCACTAGCGAGGACTCAAGAAAATGAGGACCGGGCTGTCAAAAACCGACATCACCTTAGACGATGATACCAAAACTGTATAAACAGGCTGCTGGTAGGAATACACACACTAAAGGCTCCTCTGGTGGGGCTCAGAAGGGAATGAGGAGACTGGAGGAAAAGGACAGAAACCTTAGCTAAATTGGGTCCTACAGTTCTATGGACAAGAACCCATCCAGATGGCAGGAGGCACTAACATGAGACCTGCTGTCAGGGAAGGGTACTTTGGAGAGAAAGCCACGGGTACGGCTGGACAACTGCTTTCGTGTGCCTGGAAAAGAACAAAAGGTCACGAGATTCAGGCACACAGAGGGCTCTTTGATTAGGTGTGTGCCATCTCCGCAGAAGCCAAAAAGAGAGACGGAATTGTTCAGAAAAGACTTGCTTGTGGGTGAGCCTTTTTTCTAATGACATACCTGGGAGACCTACAAGCTTTTTGAGCACGTTCTATGAGCAGAAACGCTGCCATCTTGGACTGAAAGGGTCAGAGAAAGATGAAATGAAAGAAGGCTGCCTGACCCTCAAAATTCTACAGGCAGGAAACAGGCTGATGGTGCTAAACATGTGCTGCCTTTCATGAAAAAGGAAGAAATGCTCTCAGGGTGGAGCCATGGGCCACAGGGCAGAGCCTTAAGCCACAGAGGATAATTCCTAGGCCTTGAAACCTACTGAGTTTGCTCCAAGTGGAAGGTCTATAATGTTTTTCTAAGCCTATCACACCACTGTATTTGGGGGTTAGATCATTTGTGTTTG